GCACAGGGTGGGGAGGCCCAGCCCGCCACAGGCGAGTGCTGGGAGAGTGAGCCTCCAGCCAGTGTGACTAACAGGCGCTGGCACAGACACACACTGTCGGGGATTACTGAGACCGCCCCGCCGCTAACCCACAGACACCGTCTAGGACTTGCTAGACCTGCTACTTGACAGCAGGGAATAAAGATTCAGATTCATTCCAGCTGGAAAGGCCCTTTAGCTGCTACCATTAAATCTTGATTCAAGTTTCCCTACTTTTGTTTGTCACAAAAAGTGACATTTCATGTATACATATATAAACCAAAACTGTATTCGACTCATAGCAACCCCTCCTTGGGTTTCCAAGGCAGTATCTCTCCAGAAAGATTGCCTAGTCATCCTTCCGAGGAGTGGCTTGTGGGTTTCAACCTCCAGCCTTCTGGTGAACAGTCAAATGCCTTAGGCACTATACCATCAGAGTTCCCGTACACGTATATATACCAAACCAAAGAACCAAACCCACTGCCATCGAATCCAGTCCATTCCAACTCTCAGAGCCCTAGAGGACAGAGTGGAACTGCCCCACAGGGTCTCCCAGGCTGCCATCTCTACGGTAGCACATTGCTGGGTCCTCCTCCAAAGGATCAGCTGGGTGGGATGGTACTCCCAACCTTTGTTACCTGTTGAGCACTTAACGACTGTGCCACCAGGACTCCCGACACATATCTACATCTGCACACTCACTGTCCACTGTTCCAGGGAACAGCTAGGTCGCTGTGTGGAACTCAGCACCATGTGAGAATGCTATGTTGTCGTACCGGCCGCCCCCACAGCTCCCTGCAGACACAGCTCCAACGATGCCCAAGTGGAGGTGGCAGGAGGAGCGCCTGCAGGCCCAGCCTTCGTTGGCCAGTGGCTTCCCACCCTCCGCTCCCCGCTCCCCTGACCGCTGCATCCTACGCTCCCTCCTCCGCCCTGGTTTCCACCTCCTCTACCTGCAGGCCCCGAGGCCCTCCTTCCTGGGGCCACTGCCCTCCAGGTATGTTTCTTGGACAGCCCTGACCACCTGACCTTCTTGCTCCCCAGGCAGCCAAAGGGCTCGCCCACCAGTGCGTGCCTCCAGTCTGCTCTGTACGTTCCGCAGCCCCCACGCTATCCAGGCTGGGCTCACGGTTGCAGCCACCAGGGCTCCGTACCCCAGGCCCACTTGCCCTCCTCGGCCACTCCGAGCTTCAGCTGCAGCCCCAGCTAAGCACCATAACCCACTGGCCAGCAACGTGGGGCTCCCTCTGCACTGCACCAGGGCCCCAGCCTGCCGCGGCCGGAGCACTCATCTGCCCGAGGCCATGTGGACCGTCCCCCCAATGGACCAGCTTCTCCCTCCCACACAGACCCCTCTCCCCGACAGAGACCCCCTGCCCCCACTCCCACAGACCTGCCCCATGGGATGGTGCTGCCCCTGGTGCGCACTCCCAGTGCCCCCCGCCCAGCTCCTTCCACCTGGTCCCCCTCCAGCACCCTCCGCTGCTGTGCGAGGGGAAGGTCAGACAGGGAGACAGCTGCTCAGTGAGCACCCCGTGTTTACACATCCCACGCATCTGCAACGGAGCACACCCTGTGTCTGCAGGAGGAAGCAAGGCCTGGCAACCTCCTGGAGAAAGCAGCCAACGGACCAACAGAACACTGGGACTGCGTGCGGAGGAGGAGGAGGGGCCACAACAGTGAGCTGAGCATGGGCGGTGGCAAGGACGGCCAGGGGCCAGGCAGGCCTTGTTGTGCTGTGCAGGCCGCCGTCAGCTGGCGCGGACCCGATGCAGCCATCAACACGGGTACGTACACACACGTGCGTAACGGGCGAGTGCTTGGCTGCTAACCAAAAGGCCGGTGGTCTGACCCTCCCCAGGGCCCCTGTGGGAGGAAGAGCAGGCAGCCTGCTCCCATAGACTACACCTCCCAGACTACGGGGCAGTTCTTCCCTGTCCCGTAGGGTCACTATGACTCCAATTTGAGTTGACAGTATCCACTAACACAACATTTACACACACGTCACACAGGCCCAGCCTATGCCTGCCCCACCCTCTAGGAAGTGGGTGCTCAGGTCAGCCCTGGGGGTGAGGCCCTGCCGCATGCAGCCTGTCCAGCCCCCAGGTGAGGGGAGGTCGGAGGAAGGAGGCTGTTTCGGGACAAGTGTGATGAACAAGTGGCCATCAGTGCCCGCTCTGTCAGCCGCATTGCACAAGCACCACAACCAATTTTGCAGCAGATCTGTAAACCAAGCTCTCTACACTCAGAGCCGGGAGAAGGGAGACTGAGGGGCTTGTAAGAGGGAGACTCTGAACCCCCTTCCCTCTGTGTCTCCCTCCCCATCTCGAGGGCCCTGGGACTCTGGGACAGCAGAGACCAAATGTGCGTCTGCACCCTGAGCACTCCCAGGGTCTCCTTCCAGAGAGTTCTTTCAGAGAGTGGGACAGCAGCAAGGAGCCCAGTCTGAGTGTGGCGGGACGTCCTGCTCCCACAGGCCGCTTCGGTTCCATTCAACAGAACCAAGTCCTGTGTGGCATCCAGCCCTCCGAGCGTCTCCCCTGCAGGCACTGAGGACTGAGGCGTGCTGTAAATAGACACTGGTCCAGCTTCCATTAATGAGAAAAAGACCCGCTCCACAGCTGCATCTAAAACTGGCTGGTGGAACAAGAAGCTTGATATACGACCCCAGCATTGCAGCCTTTAAAAGTAAATGCAAACAAAATAAACCTAGTGTGTGGGACACACCAGCCCTAGAGCATGCTCTGTCAGCAGTGGGTGGGGAGGCTCAGACACAGGAGGCCCCAGGTGACTGCAAATTGAGAGGCTGGAGGTTCAAATGCACCCAGCGGCACTTCCGATAAGAGGTCTGGCTTCCCTGAGGGTCAGAGACGGAAATTGGTCGAGCAGTTTTATGCGGGGTCCCCAGGACATGGAGTCTGGCTTCCCTGAGGGTCACAGACAGAAACGGTCGAGCGGTGTTACGCGGGGTCCCCAGGACATGGAGTCGACTCGAAGGCAGTGGGTTAGACAGAGAGGGCCTGGCAGGAGGACCCCTCGCTGAGAGAAGAGGCCGCGAAGCAGTGCCCCTGGACAGTCAGAGAGCCGTGTCCGAGCGCAGGCCTGCTGCAAGCTGCTCTTTCCAGCTACTCTGCAGTCCCCGACGAGGGGTGTGGGCTCCGGGGGGAAGTGGCCTTTTTGACCAGGCTCCAAGCAACTGTGTCCCTGGGCCCCAGGACCAAGGCCCCACAGTCCAGGTGCCCCTCAAGACCTTGAGGCGGTGGCACCAGTCACCTTAGCCCCGAGGTCACAGCACTACACCTCTAGCCCTCACATGGGCAGTCCTGCCCCACCCTTTCCGGGACCTCCCTGCCTCTGGCGGCCCTGTACCACGGGGGACTCGCTCCAGCTTTCAGGGCATGGTGCAGCTGGTCTGCCGGGCCACCTTTGCTGCAGCCAGAGCTCACAGTGGCCTAGAAAGCCCTTCCTCTGTGCCCTTCTGGCCCAGTGGTCACAGAAAACCCCCAGCCAGCCGCCCCGACTCGCAGTGACTCCCAGTGTGTCGATGCAGAACTCCGCCCCACAGGGTTTGCAATGGCTGAGCTCTCAGAAGCAGGAGGTCTTCGGGCCTTTCTCCTCAGGCCCCGCTTGCTGGACTCGAACTTCCAACCTTTGGGGGAGGAGCTGAGTACTTTCACGTTTGTGACACCCAGGGTGCCCCTACCGACTACAAGACCCCGCTCCAAAGCCCTGTGCCTTCTATAATGTCACCACCGTCTTCATCCCTAGCCCGGGTGTTCCAAAGAGTCAGGGCTGGGCCTGAGAGGGACAGCAACTTCTTCAGCTGCGGGACGCCAGCACCTGGCTGGTGGGCAGTTCCTGCCCTCCCTCCTCAGCGCAGCAGCCAACAAGACGGGGCAGATCTGGTGGGCACCTCAGAGTGGCTCTCAGGACAGGGCCCTGCTCCCCGCAGGTCCATCTGGCTCCTAGTGTCGCCTCCACGTCCTGTGCGTGCCACGCTCCAGGCTGCTCCACCTGTGCCCGCCCTGTCCCCAAGACACAGCCTAAAAGCCTCCTACCTCACATCCTGACACCTCCCCTGGCTAGAAAGACAAGGGGTACTGGCGGAAGAGACGCAGCCACCGCCTCTCCTGGGGGCTGCGGGCTGGGGAGGGGCAGGAGAAATCTCGAACACATGCTGAGAGAAGCAAAAGGGCTCGGTGGCACGCGGAGAGAGGGTGCACGGCCGACAGACAGAGCCCATCCCGCCCGGCGGTGCTCTGTGGGCACCCTCTTCTGAGAGAGGGTGGTTCCGGACACGGCCTCCGCACCCTGTCCACAGCTCCTCGCCACCTCCAGGGACAGCACAGCAGGCAGAGGGGCTCTGCTGTCACCGCCCAGGTCTGTCCACCGTGCTCTGTCACAGCCAGCCGGGAAATGACACTGAGACACCCAGACCAGGAGGCGAGCCCGGGGACAGGACTCCACGTCAACCGAGAGAAGCTTCCAGGCAGGCAGGAAAGGAGAGGCTGTGGGCCCGAGTAGCAGAGACAGCAGGGCGGCGGGTCACACCTGAGCATGCCCACCTCCCCCCTGGAGGAGAAGCTCTGGTGGTGGCGGGTCCTACCTGAGCATGCCCACCTCCCCCCTG